CTAAGTAAAATAAGTCACAGAAAGACAAATACTATATGATTTCACTCATACACTGAATTTAAGGAACAAAACAAATGATCATGGGGGTAGGGAGGCAAACCAAAAAACAGACTCTGAACATGGAAAACAAACTGATGGTTACTAGACGGGAGGTAGGGCAGGGATCAAAGAGGTAATGGGGATTATATATATAAGCAAATATAAATACCACTATTTTTCCCCTATCTGTATTTAATACAAGCATGCCTTGCCTCTGGTCACTTAATATATTTTTGAGATTTTTTCCAGATTGGTACATAAAAAATTTTCTATTCTTTTCTTTTCTGCAGAGTATTGCAGTGTCTAGCCAGTTTCTAATTGACGGAAATATTTTCAATTTTTTTGCTATTTCAGTATGTCTATTCAGCTATCAATAAATTATTAGCAGTAATATTAGTAATAGTACTACTAATAATATTAGTACTATTATTGTGGTATAAGAGACATCTATAGGTGGAGTATTCATAATTACACCGAAATTCAAAGACACTATAATATGGAATATTATAGTGGTTTTTATAGACTTAATACTAGAAGAAAATTACCTGAACTCCTCAAAAATACTTTGTGTAGCAAGCAGCAGCATAGCTTAGAGGTTAATAGTGCAGATTGGGCATCTACACTAAATGTGTTCAAATCCTGGCTGCTTTAAATACTAGCTGAGAATCTTGGGCAAGTTATTCATCTCTCTGTTTCTGTTTCCTTGTCTGCAAAGTGAGGATCGTAACAGCTACCTCATAGTTGTTGGGAAACTTAAATGAATTTAAATGCAAAGCGCTTAAAACAGTGTTAGCATGTGTCAATACACAATAAATACTAGGTATCATTATAATTATTCATAGAAAAACTACTGTTGACAGAAGAAAGAAAAAAATAATTAAAGAAGATATAGTAGAGCACTGTTTTTCAAATTTGGGGGGCGGTGGTGGTAATCATACTTTCCTATAAGAGCACTGCTGGGTATTTACCCCAAAGATACAGATGTAGTGAAAAGAAGGGCCATCTGTACCCCACTGTTCAGAGCAGCAATGTCCACAGTGGCCAAACGGTGGAAAGAGCCAAGACGCCCTTCAACAGATGAATGGATAAAGAAGATATGGTCCATATATACAATGGAATATTATGCCTCCATCAGAAAGGATGAATACCCAACTTTTGTATCAACATGTACGGGACTGGAGGAGATTATGCTCAGTGAAGTAAATCAAGCAGAGAAAGTCAATTATCATATGGTTTCACTTACTTGTGGAGCATAAGGAATAACATAGAGGACATTAGGAAAAGGAAAGGAAAAGTGAATTGAAGGAAATCAGAGGGGGGAGACGAGCCATGAGAGACTGCGGACTTTGAGAAACAAACAGGGTTTTAGAGGGGAGGAGAGCGGTGGGATGGGTGAGCCTGGTGGTGGGTATTATGGAGGGCATGTATTGCATGGAGCACTGGGTGTGCTGCATAAACAATGACTCTTGGAACACTGAAAAAATAAAAAATAAAAAATAAAAAATAAATAAACAGTCTGATAACCATTTTCTTCCATGAAAACTACACAGATATAAACATCTTACGAACAATCCTCTGGAATTCAAAAATTACCTGAAGTTCCTGTGTAAGGGACTGTATCCTCTGTATTTATCCAGAGGATAAATGTGAGAGGCTGCATTTAAGTAGGAGAAAATATAAGAGAACCATATAGATTACTATAATTAGCCCTATTATGGTAGTAGAAATAGTGTTAGACTAAAACATTTAACTAAATTGGGAAGGTCTAATAGATTACTGTGGAGAGTAGAATGTTTTGTTGGAATATGTACTACGTATCACTCTTGACGAATTCCCATGTTTACCAAAATGTTAAAAAAAAATTAAAAATTTACTGTTAAACTCAAGAGTCTCCTGGCTATTAGAAATAATTACTGAATTTATTAGCAAAATGGTTAAATGTAGATGATTAATGTTCAAAAATTCCGAATGGGTTTCTACATTTTAGCAATATATTAGAAAATATAATTTCAAATGATTCCACTTATAATTTTAAAAAAATTAATTACATTAAATTCAAACACAAACAAAAGGCATGCACAGATAACTTGAGAAGAATTCTCTTTGGGATAGGGCAAGAAAAAAGGGATGCTGCCTGTTACTTACACTGCTCAAAATTCTAACTGGACATGTATTAAGAACAGAAAAATAAAGATTTGAAGAAAAGGGACAATACTGTCCTTATTCTCAGATGATATGATTATAATTACATAAAATATCTAAAAGAAGCAACAGGCAATGGTGGTGGATATTAAGGAGGGCACATATTGCATGGAGCACTGGGTGTGGTACATAAACAATGAATTTTGGAACACCAAAAAAAATAAAATAAAATTACAAAAAAAAAGGGGGAATCAACAGACAAACTATTAGAACTAATAAGTGAATTCAGCAAGTGGCCAGACACAAGAACACACCAAAATCAATAGTATTATTCCATTCCAGCAAGGAGTAATCAATGTGCAATAGAAATAAGACATCATTTAGATAGAAACTGAAACCATAAAGCCTCTAGGATTCACTTTATAAAGAATGTTCCAAACTTTAAAATGACAATTTTAAAGTTCTATAAAAAATATTGAAAGAAGACCTGAATGGACATATAAACTATATTCAATGCCTTAAAACTACATGTTCAAAGTAATTCTAATCTATCATCTTGTAGGATTTTGGAAGAAAATTTATAAATTGATTATAAAATTATTTATGATTATTGATTATAAAATTATTATTATTATTCAAGTCTCCCAAGCCCAAAACCCTAGTACAGTCTGACTCATCTTCCTTGACTCCCTACATGTTCAACTAAAATCCTGACTATTCCATCTCTGAAATCTCTAATTTCTCCCTATTCTCTCCAACTAGCTTCTCTGTTCCCAGTCTCCAGTCCTCATACCCCCAAATCGGTCTTATTTTAGAATGAAATTTTATACTAAAATAAAAATTGAATCATGTCACATTTTGGTCTCAAATCTTTCAATGGTCCAAATTCCTTCATGTGAAATTCAAGATCCATTACAACTTTACTTTAATCTATTTCTAACACTATGTAGCATTGTTTCTTTTTGTGCCTCCTAATTGATGCATTTCTTTCCTGTTCTAAGCACATGTCTGGTATGCTACTACAAGCATCACAGTCAACACCCAGCCAGCTTTCAACGCCCAGTTCAAGAGCTTCTGCTTCCAGATAATTTCCAACTTATGGGATAAAAATACCTTAATAATAAACAAAAAAAAACCAAATGAGGGGGGAGGGGGGTTGGGGGGGTGGGATTATGGACATTGGGGAGGGTATGTGCTATGGTGAGTGCTGTGAAGTGTGTAAACCTGACGATTCACAGACCTGTACCCCTGGGGATAAAAATATATGTTTATAAAAAATAAAATTAAAAAAAATTTTTTTAAATAAATAAATAAATAAAAACCAAATGACAAAATAAACCATATAAGGTAATAAGCACACAAAGAACCATAACCTATGGCCTTTAAATATGAATGGAGAAAAGTTAATGAAGGAGGCAGTAGATTTTTTTCTATTAATCTCCATGCCTGAGGATGCTCATACAGCTGTTCCCTGACCCACCCCCCACCCATGACAGTTTCGCCTTCTGTGATTTCAGTTACTGGTGTCAACTGTAGTTTAGAAACAGATGATCCATCTTCTGACATATGGTCAGAAGGCCAATAGTAGTCTAACTCGACATCACAATGCATACATATCATTCATTTCATCTCATCATGTAGGCATTTTATCATCTCACATCATCACAAGAAGGGTAAGTACACTACAGTAAGACATTTTAAGAGAGAGACTGTACTCACATAACTTTTATTATAGTATATTGTTTTATGTATCTATTGTTATATGTTCCATTATTATTGTTAATCTCTTAATGTGCCTAATTTATAAATTACAGTATCATATGTATCCATGTATAGAAAACAAAAACTAGTGTATGTAGGGTTTGGTACAAGCCCTGGTTTCAGGCATCCACTGGGGGTCTTGGAACATATCCCCTGCAGATAAGGGGGAACTACTGTACGCCAAAGGAAACACTTTTAAGTTGAAATTTAAAAATAACTATGAAAGAGAATACCTAATGGATGAACATTTTTTATTTATTCAATATCCATAAACTTTAAATGTTTTGAGGATAAATGTGCAGAGTTTATCTTAAATCACTTTAAAAAAGCAAAGAATCTTTAATGCAATGGTCAATTATGTAAGAGAGAAAGAAGGATCAACTGCTTAATTCTGATGTACTGCAGGCTTCAAACACCATATATGTGATAAATGTCTTAATTCCCTAGAAACAGATGACAGATAATGTCAGGAGTATAATCCTATAAGCAGTTTCACTGACTTACCTTCTGGTTCCCTATTCTGCCACTTTCTTGCCTATTCACATCAACCAGTTTTATAAAATAGATTCAACCAGTGATAATTTGTGTTTCCAAATTTTCAACATAACTATCTACAAATTGAACATTTTCCTGTTCTAAAATTATATAAATGCCATCATGCCTTCGGACAAACAGCTTTCTGACCAACATAACTTTTAAAAGGATAGTAAAAGCAGATGACAATCAGTGATTAATATATCAATATAATAAAAATAATGATAAATATATCAATATGAATACTATGGTCCTGTTCAAGTATTGGGCATTATCACTATTCTACAAAAGTGCTCAAGTATCAAGTATTAGTAATATTATCATAAAAGTGAGTGGATACTAGCAAATACAAAAAAAATAACATTAATAGTAAAAGTTCTAAAGATTTATTCCTTAGAGTTAGACTAACATACTTACATGACAGTTCTGTATATAGATGTAAGTATTATACTATATGTCAGTATATTTCAAAAAATTAATTAATTGTAAAAACAAGACTTCCTATTCTCTACCCCACATTATACCTGGCAGCTAGGTAAATCTTCCCCAAAAAGGTGGTGCTGAAGAAGGCTGGTGATTCTGAGGAAAGGTAAGCAGAAGTCCTGTAAGTATTTTTCCATGGATTCAGGAGACCAAGCAACAGGGCTAACCTGTTAAAAAAGAGTTAAAAAAGAGAACCTGAACAATTTATTCTGTAATAGATATAGCTTAAAAATTATATTCATAATGGCAACAATATCTAAATTTTTAACAAATAACCACTACATCTGGAGCATACCATTGCACATTCCTGAGTGCCCTCTTCATGGTATAACCTTCCTTTAGATAGTTCGCTTATCACAAAGCTCAGTAACACTTCATAAGACTTTTCTGCATCACTTGTATTCTAGGAAAAATGAAAAATTAGTTCCATCAGTCAATGAAAACTACAGAAAAAAATTACATTGGAAAGAACACTTTTTAATAAGTAGAGGTATAATTGTGACTACTTTTTTTTTCACAAATGTAAACTTCAATTCCTCAAAATCTGTGTACAACCATACACCTCTAGATTTACAATGAAATTGGGTATGTGATAAAACTATCCCAATACTTCTTTATTTCTTCAAAACTTTTTAAAGATTTTATTTAATTATTTGCTAGAGATTGAGAGAAAGAGAGCAAGCGAGCGCAGGAACCGGGGGTAGGAGCAGAGGGAGAAGCAGGCTCCGTGAGAGAGAAGCAGGCTCCATGCTGAGCAGGGAGCCTAACCTGGAGCTTGATCCCAGGACTCTGAGCCAAAGGCAGATGCATAACTGACAGCCACACAGGTGCCTCTCCAATACTTCTTTAAAATACAGACGTGGGGCACCTGGGTGGCTCAGTGTTTGTTAAAGCCTCTGCCTTTAGCTCAGGTCATGATCCCAGGGTCCTGGGATGGAGCCCCACATTGGGCTCTCTGCTCAGCAGGGTGCCTGCTTCCCCCACCTCTCTCTGCCTGCCTCTCTGCCTACTTGTGATCTCTGTCAAATAAATAAATAAAAACTTAAAAAAAAAAGACGTAAATTACATAATGTATATGTAAATGAACATATGTAAATCATATCTTTTTGACCCAGTAATTTCCACTCCTGGAAATTCTTCCTAGGGAAATAATCTAAAAGAAAAAAATAACTAAACACTTAAGACATTCACTGCAGCACTATAATACTGAAAAACCAGAAATGACCAACTAGTGAAGCAGTTACCTAAATTATGCCATCTCAACTCAAAAGAATATTTTATAGGCAGTGAATATGACAAATTTGAGCTATATGAAAAAATGTTCATAATATGATGTGAAAAAAGCCAACAGAAGGAATATATACATACACTCATTACAATAGCAAAATCATACATGCATGAAATGGAAGAAATCACAGACCACAAATTTTTTCTTTTAGAATTTCCCTTGAATTCCTTGAACAGGATTTGTTAAAACAATTTAATGTAAAAATAATATAGGATAATGCTTATTAAAGAATGTATAGATACATTAAATAACTGTTTACAAATTAATTAAGCTTAATGATGCTATACTTTTTATAAGAAAGGAGATATAATGGCTATTTGTAAATTCAAATTTATGTTAATAAGGTTTTTTTGTTTGTTTGTTTTTAAGAAAGAATGTGTGTAGTGGGGTGGGATGGGGGAGGGGCAGAGAGAAAGAGAGAGACTGAATCTTAAGTAGACTCTAAGCCCAGCACGGAGCCCCACATGGGGCTTGATCTCACAACCCTGACCTGAGCTGAAATCAAGAGTCAGATGCTTAACCTACTGAGCCACCCAGGCAACCGTGTCAGTAAGTTTTTTACACATAAAGAAATATGCCTCTTTTTATATTCACTGAGATATTAGAGGTTGTTGCAAATTACAGTAAAGTATAAACTGGGCTACAGTAATAACCTTGCTATGATGTCATTTATTCTACTCATAAACTATACTTTTTAAATAGTAAAATATAAGACTTGAGTAAACACTATAGGATATATGCTCATCCTGACAGTCTGATAAGCACTAGTTGTCTGAGCTACAGAATTTGTTCTTTGATGATAGTCTTCCTATTGTTTCTCATGGGTAATTGTGCTCTCTTCACCTAGACAGTAAATTCCAAAATGTCAGGAACTATACTTTGTATTTTATATGTTTCCCTTTGCATAACAAAATCTGAGCAGTAAGTACCTGCTATCTAGTTGATAGAATTTATTTTGGTAACACTGGAGTTTTTGACCTTGGAACTTGTCTAGATAATCAATTCTTTGTATTATCTTTAAACTACTCCTCTTACTGTCGTATTATTCAGCCATGTAGTGTTATCATGCCCTGATTCTAAACTACAAAAACAGTCCTCTGACTCTATAACTGTACTCTTTAAATCATGTGATCCATCCCACTCTTGCCAAATTAACCAACAGGATGATCACTTGCCAAATATGATGACCTACAGGTTACATATAATTCACAACAATTAATATCCCACTAAATTTAAAACAGCAACACATTATGTTTTTAAAATTAATTTAATCAGAGTTGTTTTTAAATAGGCAGAATTCACTTAAACTCAAAATGCAGAAGACTCGAGATAATATTACCATGATTTTGCTGCTTATAATCAATATGACATATTAAAGTTTCTAAAAATAGGGTGCCTGGGTGGCTCAGTGGTTAAGCAATTGCCTTCAGCTCAGGTCATGATCCCAGAGTCCTGGAATCGAGTCCCGTGTCGGGCTCCCAGCTCCACAGGGAGTTTGCTTCTCCCCCCCACCCCAAAATAAATAAATAAAATCTTTTTTTTTTTAAAGTTTCTAAAAATAAACAATTCAGCCTAAAAGCTTCCTAAATTCAGTATACCCTTCAGTAAGAGATTTATAGTACAACAAAAGAGAAGTATTTCAAGTCAAATACTTTCTAACTTATGGGGAAAATACCCTCCAATAAAAATAAATGATGTTCAGATCATCCAAGTAAGTTACAGAGTGATAATCAGCTTTTAAGTCGTTATTATCAAAATACAGCTTAAGCACTTCTTTCATACATGGCAGGAACTATATGAGATTAGGAAGTCAAATATAATGTAATATTCACTCTTTTATGGAGAACTACTGGCCAGAAGATTTATTAGATAAGAAAATAATTTTATTTCATACATAAGAAGTCTTAAGAGAACATATTATTATATAGGCAATATTTGAATTTACAAATAAGGTTGTAAAGCTTAAGAGGGGTATTTCTGAGACCATCAGTGAAAGACCTAGAATTAATATCAAAAGAATCCAAAGGGAGGGGCGCCTGGGTGGCTCAGTTAGGCATCTTGCTTCCCCTAGGGTCATGGTCCCAGGGTCCCTGTGTAAGGCTCCTTGCTCAGCAAGGAGCCTATTTCTCCCTCTTCCTGTGTCCCTCCCCACTGTTCGTGCTCTCTCTCTCTCCCAAATAAATAAATAAAATCTTAAGGGAAAAAAAAAAAAGAGAGAGAATCCAGTGGGAGAGATGGCAAAGGTACGTGGATTAAATGAAGAAAAGGATCAGAGGTTGAGACATGCAACAGTTATGTGTGGGGCAGATACTTTGTCTAAATTATAGCAGTTCTTCAAATTTTGCAGGTGACAGGCCATTTGAGTATGCTGGATGCTATGGTTCCACTCCTCAGCAAAACAAACAAAACAAAACGAAAGGAAAGGAAACGACCTCAGGTTATGAAATCCCAATACAGGGGCGCCTGGGTGGCTCAGTGGGTTAAGCCTCCGCCTTCAGCTCAGGTCATGATCTCAGGAGCCTGGGATCGAGCCCCGCATCGGGCTCTCTGCTCAGCAGGGAGCCTGCTTCCCCTTCTCTCTCTGCCTGCCTCTCTGCCTACTTGTGATCTCTCTCTCTGTCAAATAAATGAATAAAATCTTTAAAAAAAAAAAGAAATCCCAATATAGTCTTTTAACAGAAATTCCACCAACCAAAAGAAAACAATTTATACCAACTGTAATAATGATTTTTCCAGCACAACAAAACTTCATTATCTTTTAAAAATACATAGTACCTATATTTTTATGGCCCTGGACCAGATTAGAGCTGGCAAAAATCTGTTTTCACTGGAATTATCATATCTGAGGGATAAGAAAATGAGGGATGTAATGAGTGAGACTCAATGAAGAAAGGAAAGAAGGGGGTGAGAGAAGGAAGGAATAAGTAAAAGAAGAAGGAAACTTTTAAAAAGGAATGAATGATGCAGAATAGTTACAGAAATCACGATATGTTTCACTACTTGTAAATATTGTTGTTGCTATTATTTACAATCTGCTATATATCTAAATGTTTAGATTATGGAAAAAACTAGCAACATGTGGCAAACCAACAGGATACCATAATTTTTTGTTTCCATTCACTAAAAGCAATTTATATGGTTAAAAACTTCTAATTTATGTTCTGATAAGAATCTGCCTTACATTAAATGTTTCATTAACTATTTTGTAAAATAGCTAATAATTATCAAATTGAGAAAGAAAATTGACAGAACAGTTACCCTAAATTAGTTCCAACACAGATTTACAATTGTCTAATTTTCTGTCATCAGGTCTCATTTTAGCAAACAATCTGATGAATATATTTAGACCTAAATTATATCAGAAAATGTTTTAAATGTGTACTGTTTCATGATTAGATAGCTTATTAAGGAAATATATTTAAACAATGACATAGCATAGAAACCTAATATACCTGATTTGAATACTAACAATCCAAGTATCAGATTACAATGCAGAGATATTGAAAGAGTATTTAGAAAAAAGAAAGATAATTATAGAAGGCAAAATTATCCAAGAATGAACTATTTAGTGGCAGAACCTCAGCCTAGCATTCAAGCCAAAACCAATACCCCTAATTAAGACATAATGAACTTGGTGATACTATATTAAATTTTTGTATATATAATCATGGTTTGTGAGTAAGCTAGTAATAAAAGTGAAGACTATATTGAATTCAGTTCATGTGTAAGTTTACTTTCCTTTGATATAAGTAGATACGATTTTAATACAAACCTTTCAGTAAGGTTTAAAACCTCCTGAAGGGTCTATAAACCTATAAAACCAATCAATAGGTTTAATTAACATTGCACTTACTATTTTTTCCTACCAACTTCCCCAATAAACACTGAATTAATTTTCTTTTTACCTATGCCTCAGCCAAACCACTAAGTCAGTTCTTTAGTTCTACAGTATCACTTTCATTCTGAAGTCACTGAAAACACTTACGTTTAACTAAACTTGCATACTTTTTCTAAATTGTTTATGTAATTTTAACCAGAAAACTTTAAATTTGCTAAGAACTCATGTATATTTTTGAAGAGGGGAGGGGTGCGGGGCAGAGGAACAGGGACAGAATCTTTAGCAGGCTCCATGCCCAGCACGGAGCCAGACATGGGGCTCAATGCCACAACCTTGCGATCATGACCTGAGCGAAAACTGAGAGCCGAATGCTTAACTGCCTAAGCCACCCAGGCACCCCACTTACGTATTTTTTTAGCATGGAAAAATTAGTATTTGAAGAAACATAATTAAGAAAAGGCTAGGATTTTTAATTCACTAGTGATGAGTCGAAACCCATCTCTGGAATGATTGGAAACAGGAGCAAGGAGAAGAAAAGATGACAAATAAGTAAAATAGGTTAAGTCTGCAGATATTGTATTACTTGCTCACTGGCTGGCACAATTTTTATAATTTTTCTAAGTTTAAGACTTGCAAGCAAAAACAAAACAAAACTTCCCAAATGAAAAGGGAAAAAAGGCCAAGGTTTAAAAATAGATGCAGAAGACCTCATTGATCAAGGAAACATTTTTAACTTTTTTAATCTAAAGGTGCTCCATTTCAATTGAAAAACTTTTTTTTCAAAAGTTTTTTTTCAAAAGTTTGCCTTTCAAACACCAAATCTCATTCATTCATACCCCCAACTTAAATGAGTTAACCAAACTACTAAATGACAAATTCAGGCAAGACACTAACCTTTTTGAGAGCTCCCGTGTGTTTCCAGGCTGACCTATCTTCCTCATTGCATTTAACTGAAAGTGCCACAAGAGCTTGTGTGTATAGAAGGGTAAAAAGCACCTTCACAATGCAGGTGAAATGGTCTACAAGAGAAAGAGAAGATCATTATTTCTTTGAAATCTAGACATTTTGTACTCAAGACCATTTCACAAGTATATGTCTTTCTTTAAACATGTAATTGGTTTTGTTCAACATTTAAGTAGTTAATAAAATGAGATTATGTGATATTATATTTGCTGCCAACTGATCTGAAACCCTAAAAGCAACATTCTTTTATTCATCCACAGAATATGTAAATGAGAAGCATTTAGCATAGTGTAAAGTGTGCTCTGTTTTAGAAGACCAGAGTGCTTAATGTCACTCAACCTTGAATAGCTGTGTAATGTTGGCAAACCCCCTTACTGGACATTATGTGATTAACAAGAATGTCTAGGAGCTAGTGTTTAAAACCAACACTTCATCTGCTTCTAGTACCATATAAACCTTATAAAGAATATAATAGATAATACAGAACTTCTAAATTTTTTTTAAAAAAGGAAATACCAATATTTTAGGTACTCTGAGTTTAAAAATTCAATTTAAAACTATAACAATGCAAAAACAGTAGTAACAATATATAAAATGCCTGGTAGCTTCTGGAACATATTCAGTACTTAATAAATGATAGCTCAAAAATCGTAATATTTACATCCAGCTAATAATTTAGAAATTTCCTCAACCAAGCCTCGTAACAGTCTCAGTTGGACATCTGAGTTTCAAAAGGATGTGCCCCTATTAACAAAGCTAATAAGCACCCAGGTCTGAACTTGAATCCACACAGAGCATTTTACTGTAGGTTCAGTTTCCTTCTATTGTTGACACTGCTCCACTAATAAATGGGTAGTACCACTTAATTAGTTGCTAAAGTCAGAAACCTATAGATATCCTTGATACTTTCCTATTTTATTCTCCCCACATGAAAACAATCACTAAGTCCTATCAATTCTACTTTTAATAACTCTCTCAAGTCAGTTCCAACCACCCCGGACCAGGCTTCTAACCTTTCTTGCCCACACCTATAATCCCAGATTAAAGAGCTGTGTTAGAGGTCCCCAAGACAACTTCCAAGCTAATGATGCACTAGGAGGACCCATAAGACTCAGCATATGGTCCTACGATTTATTACAGCAAGTGATACAAAGTAAAATCAGAGAAGGCAAAAGGTACATTGGGCATAGTCCAGATGAAACTTCCAGAGTTCTCCACCAGTAGAGTAACACAGGGCATGCTTAATTCCTCTAACAATAGACTGTGAAAGCATGTGGCAAACTGACACCAGGGAAGCTCTTTAAGAGAAAGTCAGTGCCCAGGGTTTTCATTGGGGGCGGGTCACGTAGGCACCCTCTAGCACATATTAAAGTTCTAGCACATATCAAAGTTCTAAGCTTCCATGAGGAAAGCAGATATGTTCAGCATAAGCCACTGTTTGTAAAGTTTAGACACAGCAAGCCACTCTCATCAGTTCTATGGATGGTGGAAATGATGGAGACCCTCCCCAAATTGTGGTTCCCAGATGCCAGTCAAGGCCTTGCAAAAGTTAACAGTCAAGACTTTTATGTTAACTCTTTCCTGCACAATGATTTATGTGCATCATCCCTTAACCCACTGCAATCTACTTTTTTTTTTTTTTTTTTTTTTTTTAAAGCAGCCATTGATCCTTATAAAAGAAGTATCTGGGCATCTTTAAGTGGTGACTCCACATCTGTCCACCTCCCCATGTCTGACCCGGCCCCCAAACCAGCAACAGGGCCCCCAGGGAGCCTGACCCCTTCCTGAGCCAGGGCTACTCAGACGGTCCTGTGCCTTCTCTCTCCAGGAGCTCAGAGCTTGTGGCTGCAGATCTAGCACCACAAAGCAGGTGTTCTGCCTCAGGCCCAGCTCTGGCTGCGCGGCCCCTGCCCTGCCTCCAAAAGAAGTATTTGGTATCCTTCTACTGGGTCTCTGTACAAGTTGAAACACTCTTTCCTTCCTCAGAGCCTGGCTAACTCTTGGTCAGATGACAACTTAAGTTCACTTACTAAGGAAAATCTTACCTGATTTTAAAGTGACTGAGTGGGTATGTGCATGCACAAATACACATGCACTGTCTTGTACTCATGTTGGTAGGATGGGGTGGGAACTTGACATAGCTGAGCAAGTTGGAGTGCCCATCTGGGATCTTTCTAACTAGAGGTAAATGGAAGGTATAAAGATGTGAGCCTAGACGAGCCCCTGGTCCATGGCAGAGACTGTCTAAAGTAACACTGAATGAAGCAGACTCACAGAAGAGACCCAAGACAAAAAAAACTCTGTCAGCATCCAAAGCCCTGGTTCTGATAATTCCGATGACTACCCTGAAATCTACAGTTTGGTAATGTGAATCCATCAGTGTTCTTCCTCTGTGCTTTTAAGCCAAATGTTTTAAGTGTCCTAACACCAAGGTGATGAACACATGCAGGATTCAGACAATAAGAACTTACAATCTGGATAGAGAGAAAGAAACAGACAGATAACTACACACATGCACATGGTATACTGGGAGAAAACAGGAGGAGGAACTAATGGAGATAAGGACAGGGCATAGAAAAAAAGTAAAGCCTCCTGTACCAACCAGGAAAGTTAAGTCTTGAATAATAAAGAGACATAAGCCATTTAATAAGGCAGGGAAAGGGAGAGGTAAAGAAAGGGGATTCCACTAAATGAGAAAAACATGCAGCCAAGAATACTATATCCAGCTAGGCTATCATTGAAAATAGAAGGAGAAATTAAAAGCTTCCAAGACAAACAAAAACTGAAAGAATTTGAAAATACCAAACCGGCTCTACAGGAAATATTGAAAGGGGTCCTCTAAGCAAAGAGAGACCCTAAAAGTAGTAGATCAGAAAGAAACAGAGACAATATACAATAACAGTCACCTTACAGCAATACAATGGCACTAAATTCATATCTCTCAATACTTACCCTGAATGTTAATGGGCTAAATGCCCCAATCAAAAGACACAGGGTATCAGAATGGATAAAAAAAACAAAACCCATCTATATGTTGCCTACAAGAAACTCATCTTAAACCTGAAGACACCTCCAGGTTTAAAGTGAGGGGGTGGAAAAGAATTTACCATGCTAATGGACATCAGAAAAAAGCAGGAGTGGCAATCCTTATATCAGATCAATTAGATTTTAAGCCAAAGACTATAATAAGAGATGAGGAAGGACACTATATCATACTCAAAGGAACTGTCCAACAAGAAGATCTAACAATTTTAAATATCTATGCCCCTAACATGGGAGCAGCCAACTATATAAACCAATTAATAACAAAATCAAAGAAACACATTGACAATAATACAATAATCGTAGGGGACTTTAACACTCCCCTCACTGAAATGGACAGATCATCCAAGCAAAAGATCAACAAGGAAATCAAGGCCTTAAATGACACACTGGACCAGATGGACATCACAGATATATTCAGAACATTTCATCCCAAAGCAACAGAATACACATTCTTCTCTAGTGCACATGGAACATTCTCCAGAATAGATCATATTCTCGGTCCTAAATCAGGTCTCAACCGTTATCAAAAGATTGGAATCATTCCCTGCATATTTTCAGACCACAATGCTCTGAAGCTAGAACTCAATCACAAGAGGAAATTTGGAAAGAACCCAAATACATGGAGACTAAACAGCATCCTTCTAAAGAATGAATGGGTCAACCAGGAAATTAAAGAAGAGTTGAAAAAATTCACGGAAACAAATGATAATGAAAACACAACGGTTCAAAATCTGTGGGACACAACAAAGGCAGTCCTGAGAGGAAAATATATAGCGGTACAAGCCTTTCTCAAGAAACAAGAAAGGTCTCAGGTACACAACCTAACCCTACACCTAAAAGAGCTAGAGAAAGAACAAGAAAGAAACCCTAAACCCAGCAGGAGAAGAGAAATCATAAAGATCAGAGCAGAAATCAATGAAATAGAAACCAAAAAAACAATAGAACAAATCAACGAAACTAGGAGCTGGTTCTTTGAAAGAATTAATAAGATCGAAAAACCCCTGGCCAGACTTATCAAAAAGAAAAGAGAAAGGACCCAAATAAATAAAATCATGAATGAAAGAGGAGAGATCACAACGAACACCAAAGAAATACAGACAATTATAAGAACATACTATGAGCAACTCTACGCCAACAAATTTGACAATCTGGAAGAAATGGATGCATTCCTAGAGACATATAAACTACCACAACTGAACCAGGAAGAAATAGAAAGCCTGAACAGACCCATAACCAGTAAGGAGATTGAAACAGTCATCAAAAATCTCCAAACAAACAAAAGCCCAGGGCCAGATGGCTTCCCGGGGGAATTCTACCAAACATTTAAAGAAGAACTAATTCCTATTCTCCTGAAACTGTTCCAAAAAATAGAAATGGAAGGAAAACTTCCAAACTCATTTTATGAGGCCAGCATCACCTTGATCCCAAAACCAGACAAGGACCCCATCAAAAAAGAGAACTACAGACCAATATCCTTGATGAACACAGATGCAAAAATTCTCGCCAAAATACTAGCCAATAGGATTCAACAGTACATTAAAAGGATTATTCACCACGACCAAGTGGGATTTATTCCAGGGCTGCAAGGTTGGTTCAACATCCGCAAATCAATCAATGTGATACAACACATTAATAAAAGAAAGAACAAGAACCATATGATACTCTCCATAGATGCTGAAAAAGCATTTGACAAAGTACAGCATCCCTTCCTGATCAAAACTCTTCAAAGTGTAGGGATAGAGGGCACATACCTCAATATTATCAAAGCCATCTATGAAAAACCCACCGCAAATATCATTCTCAATGGAGAAAAACTGAAAGCTTTTCCGCTAAGGTCGGGAACACGGCAGGGATGTCCGTTATCACCACTGCTATTCAACATAGTACTAGAAGTCCTAGCCTCAGCAATCAGACAACAAAAGGAAATTAAAGGCATCCAAATTGGCAAAGAAGAAGTCAAACTATCACTCTTCGCAGATGATATGATACTATATGTGGAAAACCCAAAAGA